AGACATGCACATCACACCCAGTTAGGAGTTAGGTTTTTGACACTTACAGAAACCACCCAGTTCCTTTTGGTGAATACTGCCCATCCACAGGAGCCTCAGTGTCCCCTGCATTGTGCAACGTGGCTGGACAGCCGTGGGGTGCTCCGTTCACCATCCCTTCCCTTTCCCTCCAACTAAGCTTTCACAGCTGCGGGAGAACTCACGTCTCCAGCCCGGGTGAGCAGGAGCGCATGAGAAGATATAACACCCACCACATGTGCAGCCCGACGGCCGAGGGGGGCTCCTGAGTGGCTCTGGGGCCTCCCAGCTGCCCTTTGGTGACCTCTCTGTTCTGGACTGTAGGGCCCGAGCCGGCCTGAGCCCTGCAAGAGTTACTCTTGCCTCCACGTGTGGGACAGGGCTATGGGAAATAAATGCTCTCTGCTTGTCTGTGGCACTGTGCGGCTGGTCCGTCTTGTTGCCTCAGCTGTGCCGGGGAGGCTCTCAGGGATGCAGCACTGGGGAGAAGCTTGGGGTTCAAGGCCAACCGAGTCACCCCAGATCATTGTGGTCTCTCTTTGGGCCTCAGCATCCCTACCTGTAAAACGGTGGCCTTGCTGGGTGACTGTGAACCAAACCAGGGGACATGTGACCCAGGACAGAGGGTCACCCTGGCAAAAGCCCTGCATTTAAATCTCAGTGCCACACACAAAAGACGGGAGTCTCGACAGCCTAGAGCACACCCCTGGCCCAAACCCAGTCCAGGGCACCCATGTTTATCATCCTCATTGCCGCAGGCCAGGCCCTCAGGCGCCCAAATGGGGCCAAGCAGAGTATGTCCTCGACTGCCCCCTGCTGTTGGGGGACAACAATGACACCAGGTGGCACAGCAGTGAGGCAGAGAGTATTGAGGAGGTGGCACCACATGCCTTGTGGAGGGTTTGGCCTCCAGGAAGGAGGCTGGCTGGGTTCCTAGGCGCCTGAGCGGTTTATTAGTCGCAGCAGATGCATCCGGCTCGTGCTTTGGAGGAAGTAAATGCTGGAGTGGTGGGAGGGGGCAGTCAGGGGGAGGGACTGGGAAGAGACAAAGGCTTCCAACTGCTGCGGGAGTCAAACCTTGGCCTCTGCTCCTGGGGTGTGTGTGTGTGTGTGTGTGTGTGTGTGTGTGTGTGTGTCTTTTTTGAGGTAGGGTTTTACTATGCCTACTAAGTTTTACTAAGTTCAGGCTGACTGTGAGCTCACTTTGTAGTCTAGGCTAGCTTTGAACTTGCAGCCATCCTCCTGCCTCAGCTTCCTGGGTGCTGGGATTACAGGTGTGCACCACCACATCCGTCTTCCATAGTCTTTTTTTTT